TGCAAGCTGGGTCACCTTAGGGTAATGCTGGCTTGGAACTGTCCTGGATGTGTCAGGACAGTCATGAATTCAAAATTGCTCATCTCCCCTTTGATCTTCTGGGTGGTTCCAAAGTTGGTGAGCATCTCAGAATTTAGACTCTGCAGACGAGTTCACCATATGAATCATATTTTGATCCCATATAAATGATGGGGTTTTTTTTTGGTGGTTGTTGTTTGTTTGTGTCCTGGCAGAATCCAGGTCCAGATGAAGAGCTGGAAGAAACTGCTGCTTCCTGGTAAGAGGTACCTGTTGAAGCAGCAGCTGCCTTCTCTTCACCCAGCAGACCTAAGAAAGAGGAAGACAGACTGCCCAGTGTCCCTCCTGGCCTGACACGTTGCTCAACACCACGAAGAGAAGGAACCTTTAGAACATTCTACCAGGAGATCTATTTATCAGGGCAATTTGCAAAGATACAGCAACAGAACCTTGGGAAGCAGAGCAACAATGTTGGCTATCATTTTAGGGATAACCTGATTCTGTGGGTTTAGTTTTATGAACCTCAAAGAGTTCTTTAAGAAGTAGAATAAATGAGCTTTGTCATCTTGGCATACAAAGTTTACTTAATAATGGGCCACTTGAAATATTATTTTATTTTAAAGTAAATAAGAATGACTATGGCACAGAATGTAAATTTTATGCGAATGTTTAAGATAAAGCAAAAGACTTCAGAGACTTTCCTCTATAACTACATACCCAGATCTGCCCCAGACCATCTACTTTGGCTCTGTGGTCACAAAAGTTCTTTAGTGCAAAAGCTTGAGTAGCAATGGGTTCTCCCTCTAACTTCCTATATCTGTATGTAATTAGCAAATCTAATGTAACGACCGATTTAAGTGATGAACATTACCTAAAGCAAGACATCATATTAATGCAAAGCTGTATCTGCTTCATGAGCTTATATCTGCCATGAGTGTCAGGTTATGTGTCCCTGGTCAAAACAATACACGAGTGTGATGTGTCTTTCTCTGCAGGCACACAATGTCCATCTGCTTCTCCATTGGTGATGCTAATTTTGAGGGCCCACTCAAGATGTTGCTGAGATTCATCCAATATATAGTATACTAAGACAGTGCACATGGTATCCCACTGTTCAGGTGCTACTTTTTCCCCCTCATGACTAATGAAAAGTCTAGGGAAGCATTTTGAGATCATAAAAATACACTGCTCATCATCAAACTTTCCCCCTAGATTTAGCATCCACTGACAGACCTTTGCCCTAACTGGTCTTTACCAAAATGGTTGCAAAATAGTGATTTTCCAACTCCATCACTCCCTCCTCATTTACCAGTCAGCACTCCATTGTACACTGGACCCTTCTCACCCACTTACTTACCTATCTGGTTCATCTGTTTGGGATTTGTTTAGTTGCTTATTATCCATAAGGACTTGTGGATTTCTGTTTTATTCAACAAGTTACAAGCCATTATTGTCATTCCTTATTTTGATGCTCAAATTGTCCCAGATTTGACCAATGAGAGCCTCTTCATGCTGATCCTGTGTCCTTTTGACATGACCACATTATTGTTTTGAGCACTTCCTTAGTTCCTGGCACAAAATATGCCAGGCTTATTATTATTATAGTCATCATCATTATTACTATTTGGTACCTTCTCTGCTGCAGCCCTACAATAAGCAATTACTCTAAGGGTCCCTGGCTCCTCTTAGTGGGGACTGTTTTTTAGAAGCCAGAATCTGGGTACTGGATGGGCTCATTGCTACTTGGGTGCCACTGCTTGTAGGTCCTTTCGAAGGACAGAGTTGGGATTTTTCAATCAAGTCTAATCCCATAGGCAGATCCCCTGTCTTCAGCATTTACACATTTGCCCAATCCCACCATACTCACAAAATAGATTCAGAATTGCTGTAACCATATTACCACAAATGACACCAAATGGAGTTTAGAATTTATTTGCAGTTCTTTTTTCCTCCCTAGATTGAGGGGTAGATAGTGAAAGTATTGTGTTCAAAATTTAATATTGTGTGTACTACTATATTCTAAAGCTTTTTTCCCTCCCTTTCTGAGAAATTTTGCTATTCACTTGCAATATTATTGGATTCATTTTCTTCTGTTTGAATTCACTTTTAATTTTCCCCCAGTCTTGTTTAATTTTTGAATACATAGAACATTAATATGCTTTCAAAAGTCAAAACTGTGCAAAAAGGTATACTCAGAGATGTGTCATTTTCTCCCCAAGCCCTGCACCACCTCCCACATCCTAACAAGATGTAGGGCAAAGGTCTGCCAATGGACACTAACAAGATGTGGGAGGTGGTGCAGAGGAGATGGCTTGGGAAGGGAATGATAGTTCTGTTGGTAACCAGTTCTGTTGGTTTGTGGTTTATTCTGTTTCTTGTTTTTGCTTTTTTTTTTTTTTTTGTAAAATAAGTAATTACACATCTACTTTTTGCATTTCTTATATAAAAGGTAGTATGCTATATATAATTCTTGCAAAAAGTAGTATGCTATATGTGATTTTGCTCATTTTACTATAGAAGTATATTCTGTAAACCACTCTCTATCAACTAATAAAGGTCATTGTCATTCTTGTTTTTAATATTGACTCCATTAGGTGTAGGTACCATAGTCTATTCAATCTCTTATGTTTGGGCATTGAAGTAACTTCCAATATTTTGAAATTACAAGCTATTCTGCAATGAACAAATTTGTGCATATATATTTTTGTGCTGTTAGAAGTTCATCTACAGGGTTGAATTCTTAGAAGTTTGCTGGGTCAAAGGGTAAATGCAAATTAACTTCCATAGAGATTGCCCCATTTGGCATTCCCACAATCAGTGAATAAGACTGTCCCTTTTCCCATAGCCTCACCAACAGAGTGCATGGTTAAGCTTTTAGTTTTTGCCACTCTGATGGGTGAGAAATGGTATCTCATTATAGTTTAATTTGCATTTTTCTTATTATGAAGTTGTACATCTTTTCTTATGTTTAAAAGCCATTTTTTATTCTTTTTTGTGAATTGTCAGTTTTTTTGCTCATTTTGTTCCTATAGCAATTTTGGGGGGTTCTCCTCAATTTAAAAAAGTTATTTATATATTAGAGATTATTAATTCTTCATGTGTGCTATATGTCACAAATATTTTCTCCTATTTTATCATTTGTCTTTTGGCTTTGCTTATGATGTGTTTTTGGCTTACAAAATTTTTTTGTTGTTATTCTTATTTTAAGTAGTCAAACTTATTTATCTTTCTCCTTATTGCCTGTAGATTTTGCAGTCATTATTAGAAAGTCTTCCCAGAATGCAGGTCACAAAGAAATTTACCCAGGTTTTCTTCTAGTGCTTGTAATGGTTTCATGTTTTACAATTCAGACGTCTGATCCACTTGGAGTTCTTCCTTGGGTATGATGTGAAGACTGAACTAATTCTACTTTTCTCTAAATGGCTCTGATTTTCCCAAAAGCATCTGTTACAAAGCCCATCTTAGCCCCACTGATCTGAGACGTCACCTCTATTATATACTATATCCCCATATGTAGTTGATTTTGTTGGACCTTCTACTCTACTGATCTGTCTATCCAGGTGCTACTACCACGTTTTAATTATAGAAAATGTGTCTTATGTATTTTTTAAATTGATGAAACAAACAAAATGACTGATCAAACTGGCTCTTTGGGGTTTGTAGTACACAAAACCACTGAGTGATCTGGTTACTTTAATACTAGCTAGCCACACTCCTCCTCCTCCTTACTCCTATTTTTCCTGCCTTACCCAACAACATATAAGAAGAGATGAAGTTATCACCATGGTTGCTATTGTTAATACGGTGCCAACATAAATGGGGCAGCTTATTTTGTTTCCATGATTTAAAACCAAACTGGGGACAGACTCAAGCTGATAAAAGCTCACAGTCTCCCCGGCATCGGAGAAGGCTTTTGAGATCAACATCCATCTTTATTCAAGATGACTTTTCCTGGGGAAGGAGTCTCCCTTTTTGACAAGGAGATACATTCGTACTTCCAGGGCTGCATTGCATACTTTAAGACTGAGACGGGGCAGGCTGCTGTGGCCTGGCCTGTGTCATGGTGTCCCCTGAAATGAGTTCCCACATGCTTTTCCTGCCCTGAGTTTGCCTGCAGCTGCCAGAAGTGCAGCAGGAATGAGAGAGCCCAGGGAGAAAAAAGCTGACCCATGATAGCCATCGAGATCACTCTGGAGGACAGCTGTGTCTGGGTTACAGTGATTAATGTGATGTTAATCCCAACAAAAATGACTGGAGAGAGGCCCTGTAAGAACATTTACAATCAATAAATGAAAAACACCACTCCCATCAGACTCATTATCACTATGAAAAATCACCCTGAGATTACATAAGAAACCCGGCCATTGAGCCATTACTTGATGACTGGCAAAGCTCCTCCTTTTCAGCTAATTCGGCATCAGAATCTGCTGCTTAGAATTCAGCTTTAGAATGGGCCCATGGCCAGAGTTCAAACAACAATCAAGTGCCTACTGAACCACCATTCAAGCATATTCTCACTTATGCATGGGAAGAAAATGCAACTGCAGCCTCCATGGTGGCCCCAATTCATTATTAGAGCTGAGCTTTGGTTACATTCCCAATTGAGACACAAAGATTCATTGCCAGGACCAGCGCTCACATATGGTGAGGACAGAATCTAAGAATGCTTGTAATCATTGCTACACTTACAGAATTTGAACACATGTGAAAAAGCAGCATAGAAGTAACTAGAAAAGACACAAGCAAAACGTGATTTCTTTTGCACAGACCAGCTCCCTTTCTGAAGTATATGTCATACTTTCTAGTACATTATGATTATTCAGCAACTTTGCTTGTCAAGGTGATCAACACTATACATACAATCAAGAAAAGTGCCACTGAACCCAAAAAATACGAGTGATACAGTTGCTATGTTCTAGAATTAACACAATTTAGGGATGGGGGTAAAGCTCAGCCTCTTTTCCAGGGCCCCATGGACTCACAGTGCTGTCGATGTAAGCTTCAGTCCACACCACATCATGCTCCTGGTCGATGACTTTGGGCCGGCTGAGCACGTGAAGGTATTCCATGACATTCTCCTGCACATCAGCCAAGGTGGAGATTTGAGTAAAAAATCCTGCCAAAACCCAAGGGAGGGCCAAATTTAGTAACAGACCGAAAGACCTGCAACTGGGAGTATGCATATGCCACGCTTTCTTGTCCCTTTTCTTTGTGACAACACGTTTAAGTGCAGATGACTGTGCCCATTTTAAAGATAAGATGACTGATACAAGCTCTGCCTCCCGGGTTCACGCCATTCTTCTGTCTCAGCCTCCTGAGTAGCTGGGACTACAGGCGTCCGTCACCACGCCTGGCTAATGTTTTGTATTTTTAGTAGAGACGGGGTTTCACCATGTTAGCTAGGACAGTCTCTAGTTTCTTTCTTTTTTCTTTTCAATGTTAGCTCCTCTCCCCCATTTTTCTTTTCAATGTTAATTCCTCTCCCCCATCACCTACTTTATGAGTAGTAAGGTCATGTTAGAAAATACAGTCAAGCAAACGTAATAAAATTAAAATCAACCACAAACTCATCTCCCAGAGGAAGTTCCTGTTAATTCTTTGGAGAATATCCTCCCAGACTTTATATGCACACCACCCTCCCTCATATATACATATATGTATACACACACACAGAGTATATGTTTACACACACTGTGTGTGTGTGTGTGTGTGTGTGTGTGTGTATTCCCTGGCAGAAATGAGAGTCCTTTCTACATGACATTTTGTAACCTTATTTTTTCACTTTTGTGAGTCTATTTCCAAGGGGAAAACTATGAACCACAAAAATTAAAGGCTATTTCATTTTTATAAATATAACAGTAGTTATGATTAATTTTTGAGTGCTAAGTGCCGTGAAATTTGCTAAACACTTGATCAATGTTGTCCCTTTTCTTTGTGACCACACGTTTAAGTGCAGATGACTGTGCCCATTTTAAAGATAAGATGACTGATACAGATGGAGATATGTATTTTGCCTATGCTCTCTCAGGCATCAAGTAGCAAATACAGATGATGAGTCTAGGTTTGTAAGTCTCTTAATTTGTCCCTTTTACTTCTACTGAATTTTGCCCTTTGTATGTTTGAGGCTGAAATTTCAGCTCATATCATGATGTGGTCCCCAGCGCTGCCTTTTATATATGTTGGGTAGACATGATTTCTTTTCTTTTTTTTTTTTTTTTTTTTGAGATGGAGTCTTGCTCTCTCACCCAGGCTGGAGTGCAGTGGCATGACCTCGGTTCACTGAAAGCTCTGCCTCCCGGGTTCACGCCATTCTTTTGCCTCCGCCTCCCGAGTAGCTGGGACTACAGGCGCCCGTCACCACGCTCAGCTAATGTTTTGTATTTTTAGTAGAGACGGGGTTTCACCGTGTTAGCTAGGACGGTCTCAGTCTCCTGACCTCGTGATCTGCCCGCCTCGGCCTCCCAAAGTGCTGGGATTACAGGCGTGAGCCACCGCGCCCAGCCGGGTAGACATGACTTCTAAGCAACAGAAACATTCTCAACATGCTGTTGTCTTATGATTGGCGACGCCACTTTGATCTTGAGTTCCAGGGCACTACTATGTTCCTGCACTGATGAAGAGTTCGGGGTCACATCTGCTTTGCTATGGGTTAGGAGATGTTAAAAGGGAAAGGGTGAATTGAACACAGCCCTGGATCCCTTGGAGCGAGCCCTTCATTCACACATTGATTGAAGGTTTTCTTGGTGTTTAGCATTGAAGAAGCAGCGATTAACAAGGTGAGCAAGACCCCTGCCCCCCTGGGGCCTGGCAGTTCTGAGTAAACAATTACAAAATGGTACATTCAACATTAAGCTAAAACATACAACAGGTACAGCCAATCAAATGTGGTTACCCTGAGCAAGGGTCAGTGTAGCTGGAACCTGAAGGATGAGGACCAGTTAGCCAAAGGAAGAGGGATTAAAGATAGTGTCCAGCAAAACAAGGAGTATAAATAAGGACCCAGAATCAGAGAGAATCAGGCCCCTTCTAGGAACTAAAACTAGCTCAGAATGGCTGGAGTTAAGGAGTTGGTGGAGTTGGTAGAGAGAGTGTAGAGATAGGATGACATAAGATGACAGAAATGGGCAGGAAGACTGTCACACAGAACTTGGGAAAGAGTTTAGACTTTATCCCGTAGACAGGAAGGATTTCAAGCAGGGGATGGACACAGATTCTTGTTTCCTCCCCGTGCCTGTAAATAAGGATCTTAGGCTCATACCAGCTTCTACTCACCAAACAAATTAAAGAGAGTATGTGTGCCTCTGAGGCCAGCTCCATCTCAGCACTAGCTCCAGAGTTTATAGAATCTCTTAGTGACTAAAACAGGGCTCAGGATAAGGAAATACCAGCCTTTCTGTTGTCCAGAAAGGGTCAGGACACACCCAGAGGATTTCTAAACAAAGGCCAGCTGGTTTGAATTTGGTGTGCCGACCCCAAACCAGGTTGGGACCATGTGGCTTCTGGGTTCCTGATGACAGCTCTGCATAGTGCTAATTAGCATGCATTGTCACTCCTGCCTGCCCCACCCTCCTGGCCTGGGCCAGAGCCTTTCCCATCCCAGGGGAAACAGGGCCCCAAAGGAATAGGCTGTGAGTTTCTGTCCTAGTTTGAGACCTGGGAGCAGGGCCTATGTTCACCTCTCCCAGTCATCAGGCACCATAGTTAGGGAGACCCATTTAGGATGCTGTTCTAGCAATGCTCCTACGTGGCTCCTCTTAGAGGCATGGTTGGAAAGGACAGGTTTTAAAAAGGTTTGCCAGAGGACAGGGAACACACCACACCCATAGTTATCATCTCTCCAAGCATGGAGGCTGCACTCAGCGTTTGACAAGAAAGAAAATATTTCACCTTTTCTTTAGTAGGCAAATCTTGGGCTCTACATAAAGGGTCTTGACACAGAGGACAAGCTAAGAGGGGTGCTACCATGTTGAAGGAGGGGGACACAGCTCAATAGCTCTGGACCTTTAGGATACAGGGATGAGCACTTTGCAGTGTCAAATAATTCTGTTTAGGCGCCTGTGCTCCTGGGCCCAGACAGCATCTTGTAGGAGTTCTTCTTGATTGTCTGTATTCACATCTAATCCTCAAAGCCAGCAGTAAAGCTCCCTAACTTGGGTTTTCCAAAACAGTGCCAAGGGAAGAAAGATGAATTTAAGGAGGAGGGTAGGAGGGACAGGTCATTAGCATAGAGAAGGAGTTGGGGAAAAACAACCATACATTTGGAAAAGGACAGGGCTGAGAAATCATCCCCACTTGGTCTTGCTTATCACAGCCGAGGTTCTGAAAGATTACAGAAAGCTGACTTCTGTCTCCAGAGTGACAGACCCATGGTCAACTGTATACCCGACACCTCTACAGGGATAACTAGCAGAATTCTCAGGCGGAACTCATCCAAAGCCAACTCCTGACTTCCCTTCCCAAATCCATTCCTCTCCCAGTTGGTCATTCCCATCTCAGAAAATGGCACCACTGCCCAGAGAGGCCAAAACATAATTATCCTCGATATCCATCCTTTCCTCACCCCACCCCATATGTAATCCACCAGCATGTTCTTCTGATCCTATCTCTAAGATAGATCTAAACTCACTTCCCAATCTCCACTGCTTCACTACTCCAAGATGCCATAATCTCTCACCCAGAGTCCACAAGAGTCTCCCCACAAATCCCTCTCCTCCTTGTCTAACCTCCTCATAGCCATCAGAGATTGTATAAAAGGTCGCAGCAGATCATCATCTTCCTGGTTGAAATCCTACAATAGCTTCTATTTAGAGTTAAAATAAAATCCAGATGTCTTACCCTGACCTCCAAGACCCTCCCTGAATTGGCTCCACCTACCTGGGTGACCTCATCCCTGCTGTCTCCCTCTTGCTCACTGTTCAGGCTTGCTGGCCTTCTTTCCCCGCCTCTCACATGCCAACCATGTTCCCCCCCTCAGGGCCTGTGCACTTGCTGCCCTCCGCCTGGGACACCCTTTATCCCATTTTCCATGTTTGGTTCCTTTTTGTCACTCAGGGATCAGCTCAGAGAGGCCCTCCCTGACATTCCTGTCTGAAGTCACTTCCTCTCCCTTCACCCTGCATCAGTTCCTTCAGAGGACTCATCCATCATTGGATTCTCACTTGCTTATTGTGTTCTCTCTAACTGGAATATCAGCTCCATGAAATGATTCAAAAATCCCCACCTTGTTGAGAGCAGTATTCCCAGAACAGGGAGGGCAGGTATGCAGGAGCCATTAGTAAGGCGGGAACATTCACTGAGGTCTTACTGGGATCCACCTTGCCTTTCTGCACGTGGGCCTCACGATGGCCCGATGCATATGCTCACCGCGTAGGGGAAGAAACACAAACTCAGAGTCAGTAATCTGTCCTGGATGAATTCGAATCCAGGTTCATTTGATTCCAAAGCCTTTGCTCTGAACCACTGAAGACACTGCGTCTTTCACTGTTGGGAAGGGACAGGAGCGATGCTCCGAGCTCCTGCCCCAGGAGGGTAACTCTAATGGGCTATTTGTGTATTGTAGCTGGGGAACTTTGAGGATGGGGATGGGGCAATATATGACTGTCCTCTGAGGTTTCGGCAGTGAGCGATAACAAAGTTCTACTCAAAGCCCAGTCTATAGTTCCAACTTATATTTCACTATGTAGACTAGGGATGCAGATGTATAAAAAGGTAAGAAAAGATAAAATTTTAAAAATAATATTAACAATAACAATGTATGCTGCAAAGCTTATGCATATTTGATTCCAACCCATTAACATTTAAAATCTTTCTGAGTCTTTTTTTTTTTTTTTTAAATGTCTTAGTATAAGTTTTAGTTAACAAATGATTGATAATAGGAAATCGCCAAGGGCTGGAATCTGGCTGTAACCACAGACACTTCCCTTGTTTTCCCTCTGTATTCTCTCAGCTGGCCACTTTCCCTTCCCTTTCCCTCTGTTTTTTTCCTGTTAAATTCTAGGTCTTGAATGTTTATTCTCTTTTTTAATGTGCTTTTTCGAACTTCATATATCATGTAAGAAAACAGAATCAGCAATCATTCGGTAATTACCAAGGAGCAATTAATGCTGAAATTAGCCA